GCAATGCCTGCATTCCATCAGCATATAAAAATCTGTAAAGACATACAGGTATGCAAGCTGTAGAGTAATTACCGAGAGTGGTGTGCTACTATTGTTGTTTTTCATGCGTATTTGTATGCAAGTAACTCAAAATCAATTGGATTATGGTGATTTATTGTCCGTATTTTACACAAACACATGCCTTATCTGGAGATCTGGTGCCATGTAAAACATTTATGATTAAGGGGGTCCCTAGATAACTACTGCAGCACGCTTCAAGGACTCTTGGCGCCTCCAATAATTTCCACATTACACTGTGGAGCTAGACTAACATTCAGTCACACAAATAAAGGTCTTATTAAAAAATGAATATCTACAAAATCTCAAGTAAAATTCAGATGGAGCCCTGAACAATGCCTAATTTGTGGCCAAATCATTCTCGACTTAGTTGAATTCAAGTTTAATTTAGTCTCTAGTGTCTGGGGGGCAGACTGTTGTGGAGCTTGTGTAAGCTGGTACTAACTGAGCATCAGACTCTACAAGAACATTCCTGAAGGAGGGATTCATTACTCTGTGCAAGAAATCAGGAGTGAGTGAGTGAGTTGGGTTTAACGCCGCTTTTACGAGTATTCCAGTTATATCACGGCATGTCAGCTTAATTGACCATATCAATAAAACACATGCAATGCTGTTCAAATTTGTTTTTGTTTTGATCATGAGTGGTAGTAATTTACACATGGTAATGTGGAAGTTTCTTCTTCTTAAATTATTAGGGTAAAGAAAAAACAGTCATATCTCAAACTTTACTTTTTATTTGTTGTTATGGTTATCACATTCAAATGAATCTTCAGTTCCAAGGTTTAATTCAACTCTAAAATCCATCTAAAATGATACACTGAAAACTATCGATATTTATCACAATAGTTGCTTGCAATATCAAGAGTTATCGCAATAGTTTCTTTTATTATCAATAGTTATCGCCATAGTGATTTCCAGACCAATAGTCACCCCTACTGTTGTCGATAAAATTTGAAATACAGTCTCTTAGTCAATAACTGTTGTCGTTTCTGCCTAGAATGTTTTGCCACACTTGTATACTTTGAATATTGTCATAACCCAACAGTGCATGTGTAACCTATGATTGTACATATCATTATCTCAAAATGGCCATCAACAAAATTACTGAGGAAGAAGTTATTCTCATTCCATACAAGCTTCCACACTGATGTGGCAGTCAAAGCAGCTGTTTCAGTCAGAGGTGGTTATTGTGATTTGAAACCTCTGATTGACCATTTAGAATCCAGTATTTTTCAATTTCATGGCAAAATGGCAATAAATCGTAAGTTCAAAATCCATGAACAAATAGATTTAAAGACCAGCCCCTAACTATATGGCAACATTGTAATCTATAATCTTATGAAATATTATTGTAATGCCCTTCTTTAATTCATATTGTACTACAACATTGTAAAACACGCAATATGAACATTTGTAATACACTGCAACTTAGTGAAACATTGCAATACACAGAATATAGTAAAACATGGTTCAAAATTTGTTGTATTAAAGGGAATGGCACAAGGGCTGGGACAGGTACAAATTTACTACCCGGGTACCCATCCCCGTATTACCCGACCCTACCCGGGTACCGACTGTAGGTTTCAAGAGATAGGTACAAAATGTCCGATTGGGAATTTTTTTTACCATAGCCCTGGCAAAACATATTCAGATATATGTATTAAACAATATGGTCATGCATACACTGTAGTTGGAATAAGTTATATCTTTATTCAACCATATGTAAAGTCAGAAGGAATGGGTGCATAGTCAGAAAGAAATGCAAACATTAGTGACTTGTTGTGTAACCATAGAGTTCTGAAAAGCTTTGTCATTAAACAGTATATCACGTGACTAACCACGGGTCCTGGTAGTCCTGTGGGTACCCGGGTCCTACTCAGTACCCACCCGACCCGAGTACCCGAGTTACCCGTCCAAGCCCTTAATGGCACATATCAAACTTGTAATGGCATGGATGAAAATGTTTAATAAGCCTGAAGGGCCAATGTAGAAATCTTGAGATGTCAACTCAATGAAGCCTGTGATATTGACTTGACAAACACCTGCAGTAATATTAACAACTTACAGTGAATGGGAGTGAGTTGGGTTAACGCCACTTTTAACACTATTCCAGTTATATCTCAGCATGTCAGCTTAATGTGGGAGGAAAGCCCGAAGTGATGCAGGTCTCAGACGTTACCACTTTAGTGAAACCCACAAGCACGGGTATGCTGCGGACAAACCTAGAAACATAATCAAGGCGAACCAGGATTCGAACCTACAATCATAGGTTTCAGGTGTGTCCAAAGGATGCAACTCTGCACAGCGAACTGTGGCGCTTTAGACGACTTGGCCACTTGTGCCCCTGGGAACAACTTACAACTGCTTAACATCTAGTTAATGGTGACATCACAATCAAATATTTATCAAAATTATTTTCTTGTTGGCACACTTAAATTCCAAAGGGCACATCTAAACATCTTATCCTGTAAACAATGGTTAAATACAATCAGTAATGCTCAAATTCCCTCATGTTGTCAGCTGGTCTACTGTTATATAATATGAGGCCAAATAGGCGGATCCAGCATTTTTAAAAGGGAGGGGTCAAAAATATCAAAATCCTCTCTCCGATAATTTGACTGCCTACAACATACTACATCTGGTTTCAAAGAGATCTGCCTATGTAACATGTATGACACATATATTCTAATTCACTACAATTCAACCTTTGTGCACCAAAGTCTTGCTCTAAATATTACATAATCACAACCACTCCTGTGAATGGTGGCACTTGACCCTGAGAGGGAACATGCCTAGCCTTGTGATGTGGTGTTCCGGATGCCTCAGTGCAATACGATATATGTCAAAATATTTATCTTGTACACGGATGCCAATATTTCAATGTTGAAACATATTTATCAATTTTTTATTCTTGGTAAAGCATGACCAATCATTAAAATATTTAGTCCTAAAGTAATGTGCATGTATGGTCCTGCATTATATGTGAAAATCCCAGTCTAATATACTTGTACAGCTGTGTACACTGACATGATTGCAATCTTAAATGGATGCCAAGACAAATTAAGTGGTATGCGTAACGCATATGGAGGTCAAGGGTAGACTGACAGGATAGTGGGTCAACCTGACTTAACATGGTCAACCTGACTTAACATGGTCAACATCCAAAATACTTGAGGAATGATGTATCAGTTGTAAAAAAATCATTAAATGATAACTTCCAAGTTCATATTACAAATAAATAAACACGTGTAGGTTTCTGTATAGAAAAATATAACTTGCTTTAAAGACTGATAAATATATTCTCTATTGTCCAACAGTGATGGTGTTATGTAGTCGGATACCCACTCGCCGTGGTAAACATATGCATAAGAGCGTTCACCTGAATGAATAACTTGAGTAAACAGCTACCTATACAGGTAAGTTCCCTTACCGTTTATCGAGTGACATATTCACGATGTACGAAGACGGTGACGATAACAGCGACGGTGACAACGCCGTCACTTCTACGAATCAGCTGTCGAAGATCGAGCCCTGGACAGCTGATGTGAGTCTGGGTGATACCAACTGTATCGGACTAAATAGCTCCGATGACCTCCTATTACCGCTGGCAAACAAGAAATGACGCAACTCGAAGTATGCTAACAGTACATATCTAGACAGGAGTTATGTCCCTTCGACTGATGCTTCGTAAATATATACCATAGGTCAGCATGACGAAGCAGAGTTCGACACTGAACAGCAAAAATATATGTATACACATCTATTGAACAGGCGGAGGGGTCAAAACTGTACGTTGACTAACTGTTGGTGACGACACGTTCACAACTTGGCATGGGCAGAAGAGTGAGTGAGTGAGTGTGTGTTGGTTGGTTGGTTTCAAAACGTGGTGACCACAGTTAGGTCTATATTCAGAGGTTCAGGACAATTTGTCCAAAATCTAAACAAATCTACTGAGAAAACTTGTGAAATGCTGGACTTCCTAATTAATAACATCTATATTAAAGTAGGGGGTAAGACATTCGGGCAAGAAGAAGGCATCCCCATGGGCACTAATGTGCTCCCTTTCTTGCGGATCTGTTTCTTGTTATGCACATAAATCGGAATTTCTTCTCGGATTGGCAAAGTCAAACCAGGGCAATTTGGCCAAGACGTTTAACTTAAGCTTCAGAAAAATCGATAATCTGATATCGTTCAATAACCATAAAATTGCCAATTCCCTTTCACTGATTTACCCACCTGAACTAGAAATAAAGGAGACCAGTGAGACCGCCTCATCTGTTTCACATTTAGATCTATGCATAGAGATTCAGAGTGACAAAACACTCTACACAAGACTTATGACAAGAGGAATGACTTCAACTTTCCGATAGTCAACGTTCCCTTCGTGTCCAGCAATATTCCTGCTGCTCCAGCCCATGGTGTTTACATTTCACAACTTTTGAGATACAATCGAGCATGCTCTTTCCACCAAGATTTCCAAGAGCGTCATACGACTCTTGCTCATAAGTTGTTTGATCAAGGTTACAACATTCAAGGTCTCAGCATGCGCAGTAAAGCTTTCAAAAAGTTCTATGGTATATAGACACGTGGAGGACATTCCGAAATTTGACGCGTCAGTGAAAAAAATGATGTCCGATGCAATTGCCCATTTTGACGTGTACCGTATGTTTCCGTGTTTTATTTCAGGTGAATAATTGATTTGCCTTTACATGTGTTTGTGACGGGCGCCACCGGTGGGGTAGGATACGCTCACCTTTTCGCGAACACCTGGTATCATCACTATTTGATAGTGATTCCTAAAAACAAACTCATGATATAGTCGGAATCGTACAATCGACTCAGCTTTTAGCAGAGATTTCTTATGAATATGTAAAGGGTTTTGTAGCTTTTATTTAGTGGGTATGACACGAGCGTTATTCTGGAGTTACCTCCCTTCCATTACAATGGCCGCGCCCATGAAAACGCAACCAAGGAAGTGCTTGTGCAATTAGGATTTGTTAAACCTTTCATCATGCTTCTTGTCAAAAGCAAAGAACATCTCTGATGGTTAGGTCGAGTAAGCATCTGATGATATTCATATATACAGTCCGTAAGTACCTCTTCAATTTACCTAATGAGCCCAAACATTCATCAACAGCTGATCAACCCTGATAATCTATCAATAATAATGCTATATGACTATTGCTATGTATACGACAGGTATATTAAATTGCACAGTTCGTATCATGGGTTTTAGAAGGTTCAGTTGTGGTTATATTATGGTTTCGTTTTTCTCACTCTCAGGTCGTTTCGTTAACTGGATTTCTTGTGGCTTATCGTGTTATGGGTTTGCGAGCCTCTTAGAAAAATGCCTGATTACGTGTTTTATAACAATCCCAATACACTAATATAAGGGCTTTTCTTTGAGAACATTTACTTCTGTTAGCACTTGGATGGTCAAATAACCATGTCTTGTTAACATGTTTAGGGCCTCAAAAATAGGTGAGGTTTGAAAACATATGGTGTGGGGATATTATATATTTATTAGTTCTAAACAATTTTGAAGACATAGTTACCAAAATAACATGTTACTTAAAAGACCAACAACAACATTCTTTCATAAACGGAAGATTACTAGGAAAAGACAAGGCTGATACTAAAACATTAGTGAAATCATATTGGGAATGGACAAATGGAACAGACCCTTAGAAGTAAAGCTCCGTAAAAATCTGCATGTGATGTGATTTAGTCAGTGTTAAGAAATATTACTAAAAGTTCTATATTATCACTTCCAAATTGACATGTCTATAGGTAGTGTCCTAATTCATACTTATGGTTAACTTTCATGTGAACCGCTTGGTATATTCCACTAAAACTGTAACTAGCCCGGTCAACATTTATTGTCAGGTCTAATGGAAATTTAAGCCCTTGACAAAAAGCCTTATACTGAATAAATGGAGTCAAATCCATTTAAAACATTGTCTTATGAACAAATGATGAAGGAATAAAAGGATTCTTAATGACCCAGGAATACGACTCAACCTGGTTACCAAACAACCTAAGTGATACAAAACTAAGAGGTTACGAAATGACGCAATGGATATGATACTATTGGGTAACGAAACTACTGGGATACAAAATGTTGTGTTACTGTTTGCCTATGGTTACGCATCTTCCCGAGGCAAGTGAGTCAACTGACTATAAAAGTCCAGTTTCCACCCTTGCCGAACTAGGCTGGTATTATGGAGTTACATTTTGGCTGGACTAACGAGTCTATGCATAGTCCAGTCAAAATCGAGCACCGAAATCGAAATCCGGTCCGTAAAGTGTCATGCAGATTTCGGTCGACTGCAGGATTTGCAAAGCATGTGCACCGCTAACTCGTTGTCAACAGATATTTTCTAAATCTTTTCATGCTTTTAATCAAGGTGCTCACGTGATTTGATGCACTTTGCGATGTAAGACTCGTTTTATCACAATATAGATCTTGATTATCAATCAGATTGTCTAGACTGGGCGCCACCTTTTTGTTTGAAGCAAATGCAAGTGAAACGAGAGGTTGAATCTGATTGGTCAGTAGGAGAGGCATAGAAAGGTCATAACTCGTAATAGCCACTGGTGGGGCTACGATCGAGCCCAGGAATTCCAGCCTAGTTCGGCAAGGGTGGAAACTGGACTTTTAAAGTCAGTTAACTCTCTTGCCTCGGGAAGATGATGGTTATGTGGTCATGGTTATGGTTATATTCTGAATTATCTCTTATTCCCCTTTGAAATATTATGCCTATTCTACCTTTCTTCTGGAGTAATGCCATGATTTATTTTTCCAGGATAGGGAGAATTATGGCTGCCTAAACAGTGTTCAATGTATCAACAACTGGTAAGGCGCCTGATATCCCAAGTAACACTGACATGTAAACAAAGCTTGCATGTAAAATCAAGAACATTCCACCGTCCTAAGCGAGCAGGAAATCTAAAGACCATGAAGCTTGACACTCCACAGTTTCATGGCCTCTTCAATCCGGAGCTGAGGCAGCTCATTAAGTACTTTGAGACGTATAAGTATGAGCTGCGTATAGCTGGGGGTGCCGTGAGGGACCTGCTCCTGGGCAATGACCCACATGATATAGACTTTGCCACCACCGCCACACCAGACGAAATGAAGGCACTGTTTGAGAGGGAGAATGTTCGCATGATCAACAACAAGGGAGAGAAGCATGGGACGATCACAGCCAGGATTAACGACAAAGTATGCACTAGGAATTGTAAACAGATAGGCTGCTCTTGTTGAAAGATTTCAAGTCAACTTTGAACTAAAATAAATGGTACCATGTTTTCCCCTAAACCCCAAAACTCCCTTGTTTAAAAATCCAAGAGTCACAAAAAGTCAGCCAGTCTGCTTTGTTTATTATAGAGCCAACACTTTTTGTAAAATATGGAACAGGCAGATGGATTACAGGATTTCTTATATTAATCATATTTATACTGAAAGTTTCCATGATACCTTGTGTGATTCTATAAACTTTGGTTTAGATTGATTTAAGCCTGTGGTGATAATGTTTCTGTCTTTAAAACACTGCAATGATGTTGTGGTTTTCCAGGAAAACTTTGAGGTGACAACTCTTCGAATTGATGTGGTGACCGATGGCCGCCATGCAGAAGTGGAATTCACAACCGACTGGCAGTTGGATGCAAACAGGCGGGATCTCACCATTAATGCCATGTTTCTAGGTACAACATGTCATCAAATTAAGTTGATTCTAGATCATTGTTCCCCTCATCAAGAATATTTCCTCAATATCCTATACCTATTGTACGAGTTTACGAACATAATATGAATGTTACTATATATGAGCTTACTTTAGTGAGTGGGTGAGTTGGGTTTAATGCCACCGTGAACCTGTATTCTAGTGATATCACAGCTTGTCAGCTTGATGTTTTGGGGAAAGCTGGAAGTGATGCAGGTTTTGGATGTTCACCACTTTGGAAACATCTATGAGCACGGGTATGGTGCTGCCAAACCTAGAAACACGATCAGAGCGAACCAGGATTTAGGCCCATGATCATAGGTTTCTGCCTAAAGGACACAACTCTGTACAGCAAATTGCGGCACCTTACATGACTGGCCATCCATACCCCCTGAGCTTACTAGAAGCCTAGCAGACATGAGAATTGATACTTTGACTTAATCACAGGAAACTAATACAGTCAAGTCTCGTTAATCCAACAATAGTTTATCCAACAATCGGCTTTATCCGACACTAATGATGGGAACTGATTAAATCAGTGTTATTTAGACCCGTTAATCCGACAGTCTCGCACTCCGACACCGACACAACTAATTTGCAACGAATTACCGAAATCACTCGTTAATCAGTCTTGTTAATCCGACACGGTGATCAGCGTACTCCTTGGTCATCTGCCTGCGAGTACACAGCCCCGTCTTTTGATGCACGACGAGTCGTCGAGTAGCTGCATGTTTCAACGGCTGCAGAGATAAACTTGCTTAACAATCTACAACTACTGCTTTACATAAAACAAAACAGGATTAATCACATGCCTAGATTACCTCAACCTCCTAAACTCGGATACAAGGTCTCGCTACCGCACTCATTTCAAATTGATGACTTCCATTCCAGACTATGCTTTAAAAAGTATTTTGAATCAGTCACACATTGTGCTAAACTTTAGAGGTTGCATCATTAGAAAAAATATTCTGCTAACAATGTAACATAATATGAACATAGCCTTTTTCCTCTTTTTTTTATGACATGTTTGAATCGTAATCTATTGTGTAGTTGTCCGATTTTCGATCAACAACGTTGATACTACCTAATTTCGTTTATCCGACATACTCGTTAATCCAACATAATCATATGCAAACCAACAATGTCGGATTAACGGGACTTGACTGTATATAGTGTGAGGCTTGGGACAAGCAAAACAGATTGTGTATCTCATTTTGTTAATCAGCATTTACAAGATAAAAGAAGGATACATGAATGATTCCATCACCATCAGCTGATGTCTGAAATTTGAGTTAATGGTGTTCTGCTTGTCCAGGATTTGATGGGACGCTGTATGACTACTTCAGTGGGATGGAGGATCTGGAACAGCGACGTGTGCACTTTGTGGGCAATGCTGCTGAGAGGATGCAAGAAGATTACCTCCGAATTCTCCGCTACTTTAGGTATGGACAGTTGTGTACTTAGACATGATAGAGATTAGTACTATTGTGATGATATACACCAGAGAAGCAGAGGGTAAATATTTATCCCCTGCCACGAAGTGGGGCAACTTGAATGTGGGACACATTTTCTTAGAGGCTACTGAAGTTACATGAATGAAAGTTTGCATGCTTGTCTAAAATATACTTATCAAGACTGAATTCGAAAATCAGGTTTTTCATTTGACAAAGCGACCCCAGTGCCTATCTCTCTACTTAAGGATATTTTGGACTCTACCTTTGATAGTTAACATTGACTTCTATGTTATTCACTACGATATGAACAGACAAAATGTTTATTCACCCAATGGCGGGAGACAGTGATAATACTGTTTTCTTGTTTCACATACATAGCAGAGCCCTGGCATGGGGACTATGGTGGTGGCCATGGTGGTATGTTGTGTAATCAGGACTTGTGGTTGATGTATTGATACAACTTGTGGGAACAGTCTGTGCCCAAAACCTTTGAGACTACTTTCCCAAACTCTGTGCAGAGTAGCATCCCTTGGGCACGCTAGAAACCTATGATTGTGCGTTCGAATCCCTGTTTGCTCCAATTATGTTTCTAGGTTTGTCAGCACCATATCCGTGCTCGTGGATTTCGCCGTAGTGGAAAACATTAAGCTGACATGTAGTGATTTAACTGGAATACTGTTAAAAGCAGCCTTAAACTAAACTCAACTCACTCACTAACTCACAATCCCGAACTTGGCATCATATGTTGTGTTATCATGTGGACTACTATTAGCTGAGCTTACTGGACACAGGATTTATGGAAAAAGTTGCAGCCTGTGAAGGTTATTCTTGAAGTCTTGATATCTATAAAAATCTTAGACCTAACTTCAAGCAAATATGCAGCCCCAAAATAAATCAACATATTTCACGCTACTTGTGAGCAGTGACCCGTTTTAGCATAGATTACTTTGTGGACATTTGCTTTCTGTCCTTGACAATTGACATGACTGACAATAAAAAGTCTGTTGGGGTAAATCTAAACTTTATTTCATCACAAATATTTATGTAAGTTATTATCGATGACAACAATTTCATATCGATAATCGTTAATATTTGTTCCCATCGACGATAAGTCTTATTATCGATGTTTTAGCCAGCCCTATCAATTCACCATGTTCACAGGTATTATTTGTTGTTGCAAAAGTTTTTTATGCAGGTTGCTTTATAAGTAAGTGGAAGATCAACTTTGTGTTCTGTCTGTCTGCATCAATAATCATTCTGTCAGTTATCCATGATTGTAGAATTTTTTGTACTTTTGTCACAATAATGTTTTATAAGTGTCACCATAAGATATGAATTCTGTCTACCATTACATCAGGACAACTTAGTTAAGCCATGCTGGACGACTGGCTGACTGACCAATACATGCTTGCTTATGCAGGTTCTATGGACGTATTGCTACGGGGCCCAATCTCCACGAGCCTCAGACATTGGACTCCATCAGGCAGAATGCAGGTGGCCTTGCTGGTGGGTAGCTTTGTCTTTGTGTTCGTGGGAGTATCCAGGATGTTTTCTACACATGCGCAGAGGTCGATGTTCAGCTCCAAGTCTGAGCAAATGTCTTGATCAATGTTACTATTTATAACAAATGTGATGGGTTGGTCAAGGTGACTTGAACTTCACTGATAAAAGGACCAGTAAAAAGGAATTGTTTTAATGTTACATTATTGCATTAAATGCTACGTTAGGATACTTCATGAAAGTAAGGGGGAAGCCGGTAAGCCTAGTGGTTAAAGTGCTCGCTCGTCATGCCGAAGATCCGGGTTCGACTCCTGACATAGGTACAATGTGTCAAACCCATTTCTGGTGTCCCCTGCCGTGATATTGCTGGAATATTGCTAAAAGCAGCGTAAAACCATACTCACACATGAAAGGAAGAAAATAACACCTTTAAAACTAATTATTCTCGGTTTGCCTTCCAAGGACACTTAATTTTGAATCCTAGATAAAGCCCTGGTATCTCTGCTCCATCAGAGGTATTTGACATTTTCTGTATACTTGTTATTCATTATTTTGGCACTCTTGTTATTTGATAGTTGAACATAGTGTTACAGTTTTTAGCATAGGCTATTTGTTATGAAGTTCCATTGACCTGGAGTGTTGGCAAGTGACCTCCTTGTGTTCTTTTTACAGGAATATCTGGCGAGCGTCTGTGGGTTGAGGTTAAGAAAATCATGACTGGGAATTATGCCGGCCCTATTGTCCAGACCATGACAGAGCTTGGTGTTGGTACTTTTATTGGTGAGTCGATTCTCTAAGTCACAGAGTTTGCTGTTATGTCTTTGTAGGTGAGTTAACTTCAGTGTTATGAGTGAGTGAGTGAGTGAGTTTGGTGTAACTTTGCTTTGAACAACTTGAAGTGAGGAGAAAGCCTGGAAATGATTTTGTTTGTTTGTTTGTTGTTTAATGCAGCACTCAGCAATGTTCCAGCTATATGACGTCAGTCTGTAAATAATTGAGTCCAGACCAGACAATCGAGTGATTGATATCATGAGCATCGATCCACGCCATTGGGATACAATGACATGCATCAACCAAGTCAGTGAGCCCGACCATGCGATCCTGTTTGTCACCTCTTACTACAAGCATAGTTGCCTACAGAGTTCAGCTTAGGAGCTTTAATATACTTATCAGAGTTGCATTGCTTGGCATAGTCTTGACCCACTTTGAATAAGCTGTTGTGATTCAGATGTGGTAATTCGGAGTAAGAATAGGTTCCCAGCAACAGATGCTTGTCGTATGGCAACTAAATGGATCGGATGGTCAGACTTGGTTGATTGTTTATCATCATGGAACATTTGCCATAGTTTCAATCACTGGTTTGTCTGACCCAGCTTACAGGTTATGATATAGCTGGAATGTGGCTGATACTGTTTCTGTTCGTATGGTATGGTATACTCATTCACGGTGTTGTTGTTGTTGTTGTTCCAGGACTACCAGAGAAGCCTGACGTGCAGCACTTCCTCCAAGTGTGTGCACGGACAGAAGGGTTGTCTCCCTTGCCCATGACGAGATTGTCGGCACTACTGTCTGGGGAGAGTGAGGTGAGTTGAAGCTGGGTTGGGGTCCTTAACCCTTTCGCCCCGACTGCCCGATTTATCGGGCAGGATAAACCGTGTCCCAGGACCCGGCTGCCCGAAAAATCGGGCAGCATAAGCCGAGGCCCAGAACCCGGCTGCCCGATAAATCGGGCGGCGCGAGCGTGTTTACAAAATCGCTCTTTCTACTTCCTTTCTCGTGTGTAATCTCGTTCTAAATATGGAAACGAGATCTACACGTATTGACACGTCATTCGATGGAATTTCCCCGTCTTTTTGGCGCGAAAATCGCGGGTATGTCACCTGTTTTCGCGACAGGTATTTTTCTCGCTTGAATCGTAAATCAAGCGTAATGGCGGCCAACTACGATTCGGATAGCGATCAGATGATTAACAACGACTATATCGGGAATAATAATGTGTTTGAATTGAATAATTTACGCGAAGGGGAGAGGGAATTTCGCGAATATTTTCGTGAAGATTTTGACGGTTTCGACGAGGTGTCCCCCCCCCCGCCAACTTTCGAGAATGGGAGTGGCAGAGGGACACACGACAGTGGAGACATGAGGGATTTTGAAGAGGCGACCGGATTCAAGAATATATATTGACACGGTGAGTGAAGAGTCGTGCTATTGATTTTTTCCAACTGTTTTACAATGATTCTGTGTTTGAACAGATTATCAGTGCGACGAATGAGAATGCAGCCTACACGTGAACGAGCGATCACAACAACAACAAAGGTGAGTGGCATGACGTATCTGTTTCTTTTTTTCAAAATTTATTTTTCTGATCGCAATCCGAATTGTAGTTTGCCGGTTTGTCGTATGTCCTTATATTTCGCTCAATTTGAATAAAATTTATTTCCATATTCATGTTTGTTTCTTGTTTTTTACATCTTAATTTAAATTTTAGTAACTGTAATGATTATTTATTTATTAATTGATTTAATAAAGTACTGATTTAATTTATTATGCAATTGTAAATAGCAGTGTATTGTAAATATGTTATCACAACTTGTATATTTGCAGAACTTGAATTTACGATCTTTCCGTCCTTTTACAATGTTTCCCTCTTCAGATCAATCTGTGTTATCTTCCCTGTGATGTCATTCTTATAGTAGCTGTGGTTCAATGTTCAGATAATGTGATAAATAACTTTTTAAAAACTTAAATACTTAATTTTTGTTTCAAATCCTGAAAAAGAACAAAATAAATTAAATATTTGTGTTTTTACCTGTGTTAACGAGTTTACCTGCGTTAACAAGTTTACCTGTGTTAACGAGTTTACCTAAGAGGCTGTAAGTGTATCATAAGTAATATGTGACATCAGTATAGAAAACAAAGTCAGTACCAAGAGTTGTAAACTTGTTTATTTGTTTACAGATGTGCATGAAGAGAATTTACCTGTAACACCTGGGATTACCTGTGCCGTCCAAGATGACAAGACCACTGTGTTATGTTTACCTTGTATCTGTGATTTATTTTTGTGATTTGTAATACAATTTGAGCCAAAATTCATTGTCTGTTTTCATTTTTTCAGTGTTTTCAAGTTTTATTTCACTTGTAAACACCTGTAATTAGAAAATAACAAAGGTTAGAGACAATAACAACAAAGAATATTAAAGTATACTTAATCCTCTTTACAATGGTATATGATAAATGTATATTAAAAGCAAGTTTCTGGTAGAAAAAGTGCATCAAAAATGATAGTGTGATTTTCCAATAATACTGCCAGGGAGGCCAGTGTACAGGCCTTGTCAGTGTCAGGGACTGCAGGGTCTCAAGGGACATAACTCTGGGGCAGCCAGTGATGAAAGAGTTAACAAGACTCTGTATCATGGTGTGAAGCCTATGGTGTAGGTTTTCATTAGTTATGACATATTGTACTGAATGTTTTGATGATGATGGTTGTTGTTGTTGTTATTGTTATTATTATTATTATTATTATTATTATTATTGGGTACCGTATTCGACGTAATAAGCGCCCCATTCTAATAAGTGCCAACGGCGATATTTGCTGATATATTGGCTAGTGAACAAGCCCAATTTGCATCCCTTCCGATTGATCAATGTACACAAGACTTATTTATTCGGTATAATACGCACACGTGTGTTATATGCACCCTTATTTATGGGCAATTCAAATCTGGAAAAATATATCTGTCGTACATAAACATTTCAGGCTGTCAGCATAAACAACGACATTTATCTTTCAACTATGTTTTTTTCACCAAAATAATATTCTAATAAGAGCCCCCTATTTCTAATTTTGAGAGCGCCCCGGGCGCTTATTATGTCGAATACGGTATTAGCCAATTTAATGAGACAAAAAGAGGTAGACAGGGGGTCGGCCACTGTCCCGAACCAAGTTTCTCTGAAGCTATTTTGTAACCATGGCAACAGAATGTTGTTTTCATGAAAAGTGGACATCATGAATGATCAAGTAACGACGTATTTTACTGTTTATTTCAGATGTATGAGTTACACAAGAGGATGAAGCTGTCAACCGAGGAGCTGAAGCTGGGTCTGTTTATCATACAACACCGTGACGACGATGTTGGTGATTCTGTGTCGAGATACTGCCAGGACCTGATCATAGACACTGTTGGCCGGGAGCCCAAGGTGAAGGACAGGATTATACAACTCCTGGTGTATAAAGGTGAGGGGACACAAGCAGACGAGTTTGTGAGCTGGTCCCCACCTAAGTTCCCGGTGACAGGTCATGACCTTTTCGCTCACAACGTTCCCAAGGGACCAGTGTTTGCCAAAACCCTCAATGAGCTCCGACAAATCTGGAAGAAAAGCAACTGTCTGATGTCGAAGGAGGAACTCATTGATAAAATAGATGAAGTAGTGAAACAGAAGTCTTGATGAAGTCTTGGTTGGGAGATGTGGGAGGTTGTCTTCTCCAATCAGAAGATCCGTAGTTCGGATCCCAGAAAGGCATGGACCATTGTAAAACAAGTGTGACTCTGTGGTGAAATCTGATTGGTTGTAAACGTTATGGAATGGGAAAGCTTGACTTCTCACTGAAGATGAATACATTTCCTGTCTTGTATGATGTCATTCATGGCATGTCATGACATCATGTGGTTCGAGTCTCAGGTCCCTCAGCCTACATTTGCTGTGATAATAATCCTTCATTTGTCAGCACTAAACCCATGTCTGTGGGTTCCACCTAAATAATGAACTTTGTGATGTTACCATTTACCTTTTCAAATAGTTAAACCCAATTCATTTACTATGGGAAATAAACTCATCACACTGGATTTTCTAGTTTGTTTACCAGGGAGAACTGGTATTCAATCTCTGTATTTCAAATGGAAACATAATCTACATGAAGTTTCTTTAAAGCTTGCTTCACTTGTCTTCAAGTGAAAAATAGGAATGGGTGCCATCCCTCCTTCCTCAAAAGCCATGAGAGATATTTTTACCAAACTTGGCACATAGATCGGTCTAGTGGTGAACTGGTGCTTTTTAATAGTTTTGGATGTTTGAAAAGATTATTTTTTAAGTTTTAATGGCAACGGCTCTGAGATAGACTGAAAATGGCGGTTGTGCTAGTTTCCGGAGCAGATCTTGAATACTGTACAATATATCTTGTCTGGCACACAACCGGACATGTCATCTTGGAGTGGGGTATGAGTGTTTCATGCTTGTTGTATTTAATAAAATTGGTTCATGTTTGTATTATTACGGCTGTGATACAGATGCATACTTTGTATACCTCAGAGAGACCCTTGGTATCAGAATTAGTCCCCAGGTAAAAGAATTCTCATACTAACCTACAATCATGAGGGGGTGTCAATAAGCTTTGATCCTCGTATACATAGAACTAAAATATTGTCATAATCTTTAATAAATTTGTTCCATCTCCTCTCGAGTTCAGTGGTCCTTGTTTTGTTGGTCAAATCACCTTCTGTCAACCAGCCCTCCACTGCAGTAACCAATTATTGGTCCTCGTTCAATCTCTGGCCTTGAAAGTATCTTTCAAATTTGCAAAGTCACTTGTGAGTGGGAGTCACTTGGGGTCAGATCTGGTGAATAAGGTGGATGGGTTTAAAGTTCATATCCACATTCTAGGCCTTGTACTTGGTTGGTAGTGACTAGGACCTGGGTGCCCACTGGACTACCCAGTACTGTGGTTAGTCAAGTGATATTTCATTTAATGACCATAATTAACTATACGTCCATGGTTACACTACAAGCTGCTAATGTTTTCATTTCTTTCTGACTATGTATGCATTCCTTCTGACTTTTATATGTGTGAGCAGGGATAAAGTGTCAGTCAACTTCAGTTCATGCATGACCAGATCAATTTATAAATGCATCTAAATAGACTTTGCCAGGGCTCTGGTAAAACAATTCATTGCTGTGCTGCTGTTTCTCCAGACCTCTCCCCAACAGAATATGTCTGGGATGAGATGGTAGGACACCCACGACAGGACCAGAACCAGCCGGTAATGCTAGCTCAGTTGGACCAATCTCTGGTTGACATTTAGAACATCCCCTAGGCTGTTTTCAAACCCGATATTGACATTGTCAGTTGAGTTGTTACTCCCCTCTTTTAGGTTGTGTCTCTTAGTCTCCTGTGACCAGTTATGGGTTTTGGCAATGAATATGTTATGATAAAACATTGATGAGACGAATGACCAAATATTATGTTGTTATTTTCAATAACATAACATTTACACCACTTTATATGAAGCCATCCACGTCCGTGGTCTAGTGGTAGAGTGTCTGACCAGAAGGTCTGGGGTTCCGGCTGCATCATACCTGAAGACTTTGAAAGATGGTACTTGTGTTACCCTGCCTGGCGCTAGGCATTAAGGGGCTGAAACAAGGACTGGTCGGCTCTGAGTCAGTATACTGTGTCTGAGTGGGGTATTCATGTTAAACTGCAGCATGGTATCTCAGTGAGCTAGCACTATAAATCGGCATCAGTCCGGACAAGTACAAGCAGCCACACACACACATCATGGAATAATTTTGAAAGCAACCTAAATTCCCATTTAACCTCACCACACCGCTAGGTATTTCGTGTTAGAAGTCTCCCAGGTGGTAACAAGCTGACTAGAAAGTGTATCAGGTGGGTATGTGGTCTCCAGACGTACTATCCACAGGTCAGTGTGACATAACAGGAACGTTGCGGAGACTGAGATGTGAAACATTTACTCTCTATATCAGTTTCTTACGTAATCTTGGTCCCCATTATTCTTTGTTGCATTCAGGGAATAGTTCCTTATTTGTAATATGAATGACAGTTGCTGCCCATGTCAGTGATGTTGAGGATATAAGAACCTCTGCCAGAGCTCTGGTTATGACCATGTCACATGGTGTGCTGGAATCATCCCACAGATCACATCCTTACCTTGTCAGCTTGTTGGCGGAGTTAACCTCCATTCATGAGGGGTCCAACCTCGATTTGTTAAGTCCAGGGTTCGAATATCATTTCAGAATTCAGAAATGCTGCGAGTTGCTTTCCTGCATTGAACAGTATTTCAGATGTTTTACGTCATGTCAGCTTCATGTGGGAGGAATCTTAAAGTGATGCAGGGGGCCCGGGTGGCCCAGTCGTCTAAGGTGCTGCAATTCCTTTGAATTGTGGGTTTGAATCCTGATTCGCCCCGATTATGTTTCCAGGTTTGTCAGCACCATACCCTTGCTCATGGGTTTCACCGAAATGGTAAACGTCTGAGACCACCATCACTTCGGGCTTTCCTCCCACATTAAGCTGACACGCCGTGATTTAACTGGAATACTGTTAAAAGTGGCGAAAACCCAACTCACTCACTCACTCACTCAAAGTGATGCAGATCTCTGACCATGAGCAGTAAGTATGGTGCAGACATGTGTTGTTTTGCTGCCATGTGATGAGAGCCAGGCAAGAAATGAACATCCAGAGTCCTCCATGTCTCCTCCAGGGACAACCAACGAACCATACATTTTATATATTTATTCATGATTTGATAATTATGATATGCTTCCCCTTGGCATAAAATAACTGACATATACACAAGTCGGTTATGTTGATCTTGTGGCAGAGCAGGGACAACTCTACAAAATCTAGTAAAAATATAATAAACTTTGATAAATAGACACTCCCCAAATCCATCAGTTGGGGAATTCCTTGAAATGAAACATATATGTACAGTTAAAGGGAACTTACTGGGATATGTTTGCTATTATATAACAATGTATAAACAACATATTGACCCTATGAGTCTCAGCATATTGCTTCTCCAGGTATATAGTGAGTAGGTGAGGGTGTCAGCATGTCAAGGGTTAAGGAGGGAGGATGTACAGAGGACATAAAGATAGCTATGTACACAGGGACAAGAGGTACAGAGGGCGCTGTCCTTGCACCAGCACACACTAACAATTTCCGGTTTTTATGCTTGACATATGTGACTCAAAAGATTCTTTCATAACATACTATAGTTAATCTTTCATGCCTGACAGATTTACTATAGTAATCTGAAAGAATTGGGTGTTCTTAACTTTTATTTGAGTGGTATATATCAAAGGCATATATTATTAGAAGGAAATCTGATTGGCCAATATATAACCAAAGAGTCAAAATAGCAGCACAATATGGCTATTTATATCTCCATTGGTTGGTAGTGATGATATTGCTAGGTAGCTTGGCTTGAGTGAGTGAGTGAGATTATTCCAGCCATATCGCAGCAGGGGGACTCGGCTTTGAACAGTATTTCACTGCATGTCAGCTTAACGTGGGAAAGAGTCCTCAGTGATGCAGGTTTTAGATGTTTACCGTCTATGTGAAACCCACAAGCACAGGTTTGGTGGTGACAAGCCTAGAAACATAATCGGTTGAATAAAACCAAAGATGGTAGGTTTCTGCAAGCCTAAGGGTCGAAACTCAACACAGCGAATCACAGCACCTTTAACATCTTGGCCATTTGAGAATTTGACAATCCTAATGAATTGTATACTATAGTCTACTGGTGCAGGGACAGATTAACATCAATACTGGCACTGGGGCAAGACAACATGCAAGTCAAAGACATATAGAGGAACATGAGAGGTAACTATGGCAACATGTCATCCATCCCACACCATGGGCAGGCACCAGAACACAAGCAGTAATGCTTCGTTCAGGTAATAGGGCAATCATATTTGGACGTTTATTTTAATAATGTTTATTTGAAGAGAAGCCACTGATGGGCAAGGGAGGATGAATATGGCAATGGAGGATGCTTGCTTGTTGGCCAACGAGGTACAAGTTTGTTTATTTGTAGTTTAACACAGCACTCAGCAATATTCCAGCTGTATGAGTGAGTGAGTATGGTTTTATGACGCTTTTAGCAATATTCCAGCTATGAGTGTGAGTGAGTATGGTTTTAGCCGCTTTTGGCAATATTCCAGCAATATCACGCATGGGGACCAAGGGCTTCACACATTGCACCCATGTTGGGATTGAACCCGGGTTTTCGGCATGACGAGCGAACGCTTTAACCACTAGGCTTTAACCACTAAGACTGGAAAATGAAAGAAAAAGTTGTAGCAATATAATAAAATAAAAATATCCCAGGTATCGTTCTACTAATGTAAGAAAGTAGGTAGAAGGGTCACATTAGACATGTTTTTATTTCATCTAAGGCCTTATATTTTTTTTAGTTGGTTTACAAGTCCAACTGACAAAAAAAACAACCTGAAATTAGAAGATGAAAAAAGACTTGACAATCTTATTTTCGGCTGACTGTTTTACAGCTAGGTGAAATGAAAAAAAATACATGCCAGATTTTATCACCGCTGATCGTGAGAAAAAGTTACTATCATGTCTAAAAATAGTTATTCTAACAAAACACCCATCTATTGTCTTTCGGTATCGTTTTGCAATCTTACTACCGTGTACGAGTTCGTTTTCATTCATAAGCAGCAGTACAATGAAAGTTGCAATTAATTATGAATTTTAAAATTTGATCATCTACATTGAATTTTAGCCACCAAATTTTGTAAACCAACAAATAAAACATAAAAGCCAAACACATGCTACATAGGCCTTATGTTGCTGTTGAAGACACATCTCTTGATTTACTGTACATTGTCATTGAGGTAGTGATTAATTACTCTTAGGGTCCTTATAAGCTGGCAATGTACACAGGCAAGGCAATCTACAGGGAGCTGAGACCACACTGAAGGAAACAGCTGTCAAGCAACCAATACATGGGACATCCACACTCATTTCAATCCTTATAAATGTACAGGACATTTTTGTATCCATGAAAACATTCATAAGGACACAAGACAGCATAAATTTGATTGTTGAAATCAAGGTACCAGAGTCAACGGTGATCCTCAATGTGTATCAACTGCAGAAAGTTCATAACTTGATAATTAAAAACAAATATCAATTAATCTCATTTTTTCAGAGTATAAGGATATTTTCTATATACACATATGTATTTTAGTCACAAGCACTGAAAAATGTAAATGGATAAAAAGTTAATTCTTTGAATTAATGGCAGTTTCATTTCTGATGTGTTACTCTGTTTGATATATTTATTAACACATGCAGTATCGTACAGTATCGTACAAAATTGACAGTTACTCTGCCCAATTTTCTCCCCTCATTTTCAGATACTTCTCTGCAACAATTCAGTTGCTATCTTGACACAGCAGGCATGGACTGAGAAGACTGTTACATTGCTTGTACACTTACAACCACAGAACACACACTGTCAACCTCGGTCTCAGCCCTACGACACTTAAAGTCTCACCAGCACTATAAAATGTTGGTTTAGAAGAATCTTTACAACTACAGTCGAACCTTGTTTGTCAAACTTGGATGTGTCGAATTCCCTGTTGTCTCAAACTCATTTGCGAGACCCAAGTGTCCAAATTAAACATAATATTCCCCTGATGTCTCCTCACGAGTTCAACATTACAAGATTCGACTGTCTCGGAAATAATTCAACTTAACACTGAAATAATATAACTCAATATTGAAAATACTCAATTTAACAAGAGACCATATACTGGTATATGTTTTCTGATTTTCAATATCAGACCTATAGAGAATCTCACCTGAGTGTCTTTTGATATAAAACATATCCACACAAGTGTGAGTCATAAATGTTTGTCAACAAGTGTGGATATATCTAATATCAAAAGACACTCGGGTGAGATTCAATATATCATCCAAAATCATTCCTCCAACATCTCCATCTTGTAAACAATACAGCTGACCAACTTCAGTGGCAGAGAGATTAGTGATGCCATTTGATTGTGACATCATAACAAAGGAGTCACAATGGCCTGCAAAAACTGAGATAGTAACTGAGAGAGTAACTGAGCAGTATCTCCTTGAAGATAATACTGGATCTCACCCAAGCAATATCTCCTGGAAGATAATACTGGATCTCACCCAAGCAGTATCTCCTTGAAGATAATACTGGAGGTCACCCAAGCAGTATCTCCTTGAAGATAATACTGGTGGTCATCCAAACATTATCTCCTGGAAGATAATACTGGAGGTCACCCAAACAATATCTCCTGGAAGATAATACTGGATCTCACCCAAGCAGTATCTCCTTGAAGATAATACTGGATCTCACCCAAGCAGTATCTCCTTGAAGATAATACTGGTGGTCATCCAAACATTATCTCCTGGAAGATAATACTGGAGGTCACCCAAGCAATATCTCCTGGAAGATAATACTGGATTTCACCCAAGCAATATCTCCTGCGGAAGCAAGTTTTGGATGATACATCAGCATGAATATGAAAGAACAGTCTAGCACACATATTCCAATGGCAGGTCTGTACTGTATACAGTGAAACAGTGCACTTTGTTTATATAAAGATGTTGCTGAGAGTAAACTAAATCAGGACTTGATCAGGATCAATGGGATTTGTATTACGATAGTTTCACTGTGTGTTAAATGCCAGCATTTGCAAATGTTCACATTTAGAACTTTGCTGAATCTGTCTCAAATTGAAATATTTCCATTGAGAAGAATTATCTACTTTCACAGGAGAAGCAAAACAAAAGTAGTTATGCAAGTAAATTTTGTTCACACTCTTTTCCTGTTGACCTACTGTCTAAATTCACAGTATTCGTAGGGAAGGTTATTGGAGCAGGGTGCTTAATATGGTGAATACGGTATTTCTCCACAGCGCAAGACATACATAATCTCAGCTTCTGGGATATGAGAAAATATATGTTACTCTATGTTTGTGATGAATGTATACCTGTGTGCACTTGGTATGATGTTATGAATCCTGTGTGCTGTACAATACACAAACAACAACATCTAGTCATGCACTGGTGGAAGACACAGGCTGTACCCTGAACCCTGCAGGGCTGTATTCAAGACCCAGTCCATTCCCAGGTATGGAATATTTGATTAACCCATACAATAAAGGTGACTGATGACGAAAACAATACAATTAAAAAAAGGGTTGCTAGGCATTATTTAAACACATGTCAAATTTATCGATTACCCAGGAATTTTGATACTACTCAACTTTTCGCAGATATTTTCCTATTATTCTATGACAATGGTACTACTTGTCATCAGTGGATAATTTAGGAAGGGATTGCATGGGTCAATTGTGGTGTCGGCTTATACACAAGGTCAGCCAATTCCACTGATAAACATACCAATTGTGACAAGCACGGAATAAATACCACAGTATCCCCATCAAAATTGAGTAGTAATTAAAAAGAAACTCTATGCCTAACAACTAGTCAGTCAGTGAGTATGGTTTTATGCTGCTTTTAGCAATATTCCAGCAATATCATGGTGGGGCACACCAGAAATGGGCTTCACACATTGTACCCATGTCGGGAATCGAACCCAGGTCTTCGGCGTGACAAGCGAACGCTTTAACCACTAGGCTACCCGACCTACTACTTTGCCCATGCCCCTCCTGACAAGCAACTGGTCAGGGCCAAGATGAACATGTGTGTCATTAGTATATGGGCAACAGTGTGTCCCAGCAGGGTCTTGTGGGTGTCTCGGGGTGTTCCAGGGGTAGGGTGTGGGTGTCTCGGGGTGTTCCAGGGGTAGGGTGTGGGTGTCTCGGGGTGTTTCAGGGGTGTCCAGAGTGCAGCTCTGAGGGTCAGTTACAGCCCGTATTGATGCCCAACACACACAAGGTCAGGTGCGTGAATGATGGACACCTTCATGATAATATTCCTACTGACAGCAGACATATATCATGGCCTATTTGCATGGTATGGAAGACAGTGTTATTGATGGACAATGGCATTATTGCATAATGTATATTGTATGCATGCTGTATGTTTACATGTGCTTCATGGATTGGGATGAGGGGGTGATAACGCATAAATATTATCTGCACAGGTCAGCTTGCGACCTCACACACCAAGTTCAGTGACCTTAGCACCTTGAATAATTAATGTCTGACCTTATGAAGAACATGAACCTATTGACTATAGCTATCTTTTCATCCTCGATTATCCAGGGTACTATATTCATTCTATCATTATAAAAACCCTGGACCCATTTGCCACCATAGCTTCTTTGAGCGGGATACGAATTTCACAACTGTAAATACAGCTGTCCAATCAAATTACTCTTATGAGCAAAAGGAATTCTGTACTAAGTTTGTGAAATGAGGAATGGAGGCGGTGATGTCACTTTTGAAACAACGTCTTGGAGGCGAATGGGTCCGGGGAGTTTTTGTTTATAGACTGGAGATATGATGCTCTGGATACAGAGGATGCCATCTCTTGGGGCCATGTGTTCTGAAGTTTGAATATGCACTAACACTAAAACCTACACTCATTGGCCATAGACAAGTTCACATGATGTACCTCTCCATAAGGCTCTAAGTTAACTCAGTGTAACAAACAGACTTTTCAATATTCCATTTCAAAGCCTCATTTCCCTAACTTTTCATAATTGTGTCTGCTATTATACCTTTTCTTTGTTTAGAATCATCCAGCATGACAGACATGTAACGTTACCCTTAATTTCTTCCACACGACACCATGCAAAAAATGTTACCATGTCATGAATTTTGGTGTCATTGCGACATTGATAACAGGGAACCATCAAAATTATGAACATTAATTCATAAATTTGGAAGAAGTAACATAATGAAATTTAGTCTTGCTGCACTGACCTTGAACCCTACCTAGAGTTACATTTTGCTGACTTACCTATGATCAATGACCGTACATCCTTGAACACTATTGACCACAGTAGCTATTTCAAAAATTAGATCGATTAAAAATATTTCAACCATAATCATCTGCAAAAACAAATAAAACCATTTCTTTCAAGTAAAATATTCATACTTGTAAATTCCGATGTAGACGGATTCATGTGTCTGTCATGTCAATCTCTTTGTGAGACATGCAGGCCACGTCACAACAGCAACCATGGTGAAAAACATGGCCACAGCCACTGAATGATAAACCTCTTTAACCATCTCATAACAGAATTAAAACTTTGGTAACCATGGTAACAGATCTGTATAAGGCACAACCTCGTACTTGTATCATCTTGATTGTGGAGAAAGCTACGGGAAGAGAAGTGAAACATGAATATTATATGGGTTGAACTTGTGCAATGCAACCAGGAGGATTACTCCCAAAATGAAGTTATATGTCACAGACAAGATACATGGTGTAACCATGGTAACAAGATGCCTTTTGAGCATGGTTTATACACAAGGGACAGTGCACATGTTCCGAGTAGCATGTTATGAAGATTTATTCCCATCAGACCTCACATTGTCTGGTGTCTTGATTATTGCTTGTCACAATTAAAAACATCAGTCCTAGAAACATCCCATTCATCGTCATCTGTTCCATCAGGCTTCCTTGTTTAAATACAGAACACTTCCTCTGTTGTGTCGAATCACCCAGTTCAGTTCCTTATACACTGGAAGGTATTAGAAAGCTGCGTTCACATTGTCTTCTGTTCAATATACACTTGAAGTTATTTGATAGTAGCGTTATGAACCAGTCACATTGTTCCTGTGTTGAGTGATTCACAACTGTGGATGCGCTTCTGCCTGTTTGGCCCTCAATAAGGCTAATGCTGATCTTGTCACATGAACTCAGAACTATCACACTAGACATCATCCATGGTTCAAATGTACATATTGATTGTGAGCTGGCCTCTCACAGCTTGATCACATACCATACCAGCCACCTTTCACTCTGGCGTAGTTATATGCTTCATAACGTGGTCCTATGACCATCACAGGAGTATCCCATTGTTTCTGTATCTGCTTCATCACTCCTATGTCCGAGCACACATTAGTCTGGTAGCACATGAAGCAGACAGGTCACAGTAATCCATGAATGAAGTATTGCCGAAGCAAGTGCCAACCAGCCTCCGGTCATCTCACATGAATGTGTCTACCCAAGGTTTCGGGATCCACTGTGGTTCGATCTCGAGGCGGTTGATCTCTTGAAGGAGCTCATCGTATGCCCTGTTGAGGTCCTGGTTGACCAAGATGTAGTCAAAGTAATGGCCATATATGTCCTCCATCTCACGAGCCTTCTCTATGATGTCCTTGAGTTCGTCATCCTGGTAAACAAATATACATGCTTAAGGCTAGACATTGAGGTGTGTGCGGTTGGGGTGGCTGTTAGGGATTTTCAGTCCAAAATTTCAGGTTGGTGAGTTGAAACAAATAAAAAATTAAAAAATTACAATTTCATATACATCTTGGGATTGCCTCAAAATGTGAAATGGTAGGGAGAAAAAAAGTGGGGATTCAAACCCATGATCATAGTTTCCTGTCATGGCTAAGGGACACAACTCTGTACAACATATTCCAGTGTCTTAGCTGCCTCGGCCCCCTGTACCCCTATTTTAATGGAATAATTGAAAATTACTTTTGTATTACAAAAGGATTTGTCAGATTAGGTGGGACTACTTCCTTGAACATGTTATCTCAGTTGCTAGAATGTTGACTACGCTGTTGTTGAGACGTATACATACCGGTGTTGCTGGTTTGCCCAGCTTAACGTGCACAGCACGAAGCTTCTCCAGGTTCGGGGGACACACGAATATCACATAAGGCTTCAGGTCTGATGTGTACAGCGGTTTCACAGCCTGGCAAACAAAAAGGAAAACCATTTGTATAGATGTTAGTATACTTGGTAACTTTTAACTTTAGCTTGACAGCATTCTGTCAAGAGTTATCTCCCTTCCTACAGTGTCCATCATGTTTACAAACCATAATTACTTTCAAAATCAATTTACAGTTCAACAGCTATATTTCATCCCTATTAGAGTGTCCAGGAGAGCGTAAGATCCGGGGTTCAATTCTGGCTGCGTCATACCAATAGATGTCAAAAGATGGTACTTGTTGTTACCCTGTCTGGTGCTGGGCATTAAGGGGCTAAAACAAGGACTGGTCGGCTCGGAGTCAGTATACTGTGTCTAAGAGGGGTATTTATGTTAAACTGAGGCATAATATCTCAGTGGGCTAGCGCTATAAAATCGGCATTAGTCCGGACTAGTACACGCAGCCACACACACGTTGCTACATAAGTGCGTTGCCATATATGTGCAATAAACTTGAACACGACATTAAACTCCATTTTCCCTCACCTCACCTATAAGAGTCTATCAGCTTGAAGTTGAGCATCACATGGAGCATATACTTACGTCGGCATGGAGATTGAGCACGCAGATCTTCCCCTGGTGGATCACCTGTCTCACAGCCTCCAGACTTGTGCCATACAGATTCTTTTCAAACTCGCCATACTCGATAAACTTCTGAGCCAAGATGTCCGCCTCAAACATGGTGCGTGAGATGAAGTGGTAGTCCTTGCCCTCTATTTCCTCAGGTTTGCGGACTCGACTCGTGTCTGTCAAGATATGTAGGAACTCCACTGGTTATTGCGGCACTTAATATCAAAACCATCTTACATCTGAACATCTGACGAATTTCAGTTACAACACAAAATATTAATGTATATTTATGAAATTATGTATGTACAGTTAACACTTAAATTGTTATATAATTTAGACATACATATACACTAAGACAAAGAAAGACAAACATGCTAAGTAAAAAGTTTAGAAAACGATAAATTCTGATCCTTCTGCTGATAAAATTTAAAATCACAGGCTTCAGATAAATGACTGTGTGAGAAACTACAGAGTAAATCCACATACGGGGAACAGCAGCAGCGAATCTGTCAAAGTCAGACTCCATGAGACGCTGTCTGAGCTCCGCCCTCCCAACATTAGAAGGGCCAATTAAGGCAATTGGTCTTTTTCTGTTCGGCTGAGGTAAATATTTAACCATTTCTTCATATGAGAGGATTTCTTCAGTTTCTGCAAATATAAATACCAATGTTCAGGGCATCCACAAATCATGCAGTGGAACAGGAAAATAACTAAAGGGTATGACATCAGGAGCACAGATATGGCGCTGACAGACCAAGTTCACAGATAGTATGAATCAGGGATTTAACCCAATACACGTGGCATCTTAAGCGATGTGGCAAACAGGAAACCTGCACCATCAACACTTATGTTGTAAATAACTGAATATCATGCATATTCTGTTATATGTGTGTGAGAATAACTCTGCTATTACTGGAATATCACAACAGCTGTAACACAAAGCAACCATGTGGGGCCCAGGAATCAAACTTGGTATTGAGAGTAAGAAAACACTTCAACCACTTAGCTTACAAACCAACACTTTAAGCTGCAAACTGCAAACATAATCGCATTTTGGGTTATTACATCTAAGTTGCATCACATCCTGACTTCACCCTGTTAGACCAAAGACCCGTCCTTCCTCACATCCATAACAAATAACAGAGGGCGCTTAACCCTTTGTCCAGGTGATTCATTAATCCAGATTATGCCAATGGGTACTGTCTGGGTTAATGGGGTTTCATTGTAAATTGCTTATAACGCATGCCAGACACCAGAGGCAGATCCAGGATTTTGAAAAAGGGGATGCACATAATACCCAAGTCATGAAGTGACTTGGCCGAGGGCACATTTCAACATGTAAGGTGTCTGACAACGGCGTTTGCCACCCCACAGCTGGATCTGACAGTGGACACACAAGGTAATGGCACCTACCCTCGTCAGCCCCAGTGTACAGGGAGGAGCGTTTCTTCTTTTTCTTCTTCTTGTCTCTCTTTCCACAGACACACGATCGCCCCTTCTTCTTAGCGTCCTTCCCGTCTCCTGGCATGGTCTGACGCAGTGTTTCACGTCTGTAACAACAACACACAATCCCGTCTCAAAATTGGTTAAAATCGGCCTATTTCAGGAAAGCAAGGGTGTTTTTCAAGTCTAAAAGAATTGTTGTACTGGTACCAAAGAGGACACAGGTGATACACAAATTGTACCAAAGTGGAGTTGTAACAAAGGCTACCATACCATCTCTGTCTGTGATTATGGCACTTACTGTTCATGGAAGAGCCTGCTGGGTATAAGCCCGGCCAGTGATTACGGCACTTACTGTTCATGGAAGAGCCTGCTGGGTATAAGCCCGGCCAATGACTGGTGCTCTTCCTCGCCTTCCCTGTATGCCTGCCACCAGTTGGGATCATCCTGGTTGATGATATGAAGGATATCTCCCTTCATGAAGGAAAGCCCCAGTTCTCGACATGGGATATATGCATCGTCCTCAGGGTCATAGTTGAAGAGGGCTCGAAGGTGCACCTGCAGAACATCACCACGTACATACTATATTCTGTAAACATTTGTTGTGATTCATAATTAGTAACACCATATTCATAATGAATAACATATTCATATGATGGACATTTTTTTTCCAAAATGTATATAAGTTAAAAATTATTCAGAAACTCTTTGAAATTTAAAAAATTGTTTGTGCGGCATCAGGCAACAAAGAAATGATTACTTTTTTATGCAATTAATTCTAGTGGTCTTTCTGTACTTACTGCTTTTGGTCGGGCGGCTGGTTTGGGTGATGCGTAGTTGTGCGTCGGGATGATCATGAATGTTATTGTCCCTGTCATATAGGCCTGAAAACAGTAGTAGGTAATTAGTATTGAACATAGACACATATCTACATAGTAAAACTGTGTTACACAGCTAACAATGAACATCATTATCACTGATTATCCACAAGTTGTACAGTTCAGGTTTAGTCACTATACAGTTACTGTTCAAATTACACAGGTTCTGGAATAATATATCCAGTCTGAAACAATCTCCATTACTAACCAGCATCTCAGATACATCGTTGACATTTTTGCCGCGCATGTCGATGCCATTCACTTCTAGTATCTCATCTCCTTCGTGAAGCAAACCTGACAATAGAAACAAAGTTACACATAAAGCTACTAGCTATTATTCATGATACTGTAAATAATCTGGGACCAGACAAACAAGTGGTTGACAGCATGAGCAACAATCCACACCATCCGGGTACGATGACACATGTCACACAATTAACAACTATCCTCTATTGTCAGAATGATCATAATGACATCATGAGGCAATGGCCAATTCTTTGACTCCTGAATCCCCATGAAGAATGTCTGATATAATTTGCATGAATGTTTAATGCCGCACTCAGCAATATTCCAGCATTTACAGTAAATAAAGAAGTTGTTATCTATAAATTGTGTCTACTTTGTCATCCTTCAACTTATAAGTAATGCCTATCAAGCAATTGATATTCCAACTATATGATGGCGGTCTGTAAATAATCAAGACTAGACCAGACAATCCAGTGATTGATATCATGAGCATCGATCTATGCAATTGGAACGCAATGACATGCATCAACCAAGTGAGCAAACCTGACCACCTGATCCTGTTAGTCGCCTCTTACGACAAGCAAGGGTGTCTGAAGACCAATTGTAGCCCAGGTCTTCACAGGGGATACTAAACGTAGCCTTGAACTCAGTTTATGAAAACAACAAACTCACCACTCTTCTCGGCTGCTCCACCCTTGACAATCCTCCCAATTATCACTGAGTCTCCCTCATTCTTCACTGTAGCTCCCTGTAACATGACAGAACACATACATAGAACATGACATATAGGTCCATTGAGGAGCTGACATGACAACCAGCAACAGAAGCACTAGGAGTCTTGGCGGGTCTGGCAGCAAACATCTGACCTGTGTATAGGAGATAGTTTTGGGTTTGATAATGGAGCTAAAACTCTCGAGTGAGTGAGTGTGTAAGTGAGTTGTGATCACAGTGGAGCTAAAAATCTTGAGTGAGAGTGAGTTGTTTCAGAGTGGAGCAAAAACTCTCGAGTGAGTGAGTGAGGGGATGAGGCATGAGTGAGTGAGTGAGTGAGTTGGGTTTCAGAGTGGAGTAAAAAATCGCGAGTGAGTGAGGGGATGAGTGAGTGAGTGAGTTGTGTTTCACAGTGGAGCTAAAAATCTTGGATGTAAAAATCATGGAAAATCTGACTGCACAGCTTTTGACCTTAATATATAAGTGAACAAGTGAGTGTGTGGAATCTTGGAGTGAGTGAGTTGGGTTTATTGGAGATTTGAGATTTGAGATTTGAGCAATTATCAGTCATATCATGGCATGTCAGCTTGATGTGGGAGAAGACCTAAGAGTAATGCAGGTCTTAGCTGTTTACCACCTAGGGGAAACCCACAAGCACATGTTTTGGCTGACAAATAAGAGTCATAATATGACTAAATCGGGGAATCTAACCAAATCATTAAATCTAGGCACAACAATAATAGTATGCATTCATCTTTAAATAAAATATGCATACATTATTTTTGTTCTTGAAAAATGTCTACAAGTGTGAAACAAAGATAATATACCTTAATGAATCAATTATTACAAAAACGTTGGTTACAAAGTTAATGTATTTCTTTAAAAAACAACAACACCCTACTTTTTCCCTGGAGGAGAAAAAGTCATTACTTTCAAACATCTTGTTACAAAGGTGGGAGTTTTTATGTCGCAGAAATGGAAATGAGGCAAAAATGGAGTAATTGAAGTCGCACAAAATCCACAACTTTACCGGCAGCTAATGTTGTTTTGTCCACTCAAGGCATTGATCCGAGAACAAAGAAAACTGGGATATGCAAACTGACCTGATCAGAATAACCCAAACAGAGAGGAGAATCAGGCCCTTAAAACGCCAGAATAAATGGCCTTCTCTGTAAATTTCAAGGCATTACATCCCTCCTGTAATGGTTGGCAAATTTTCATTTTGGCATAAATTTTGAGATTTTATTACCTCTCTTAACTGACACCAGGTTAAACAAAAAATACAACATATTGTGAAATGAAATATTTAAAAGGATCCTTCCTGACGTATATCCCTTGTCACATTTGCATCCCAGTGTAGCAGTTTGTTATATCCATCATACTCAGGGTGATATATGATCGCACGGAATGCTGGCAATTTATACATGTTGGCATGAGATTGAATAACAAAGCATATCTCAGTTGTATCTCATAAATGTCCTAGCATGTCCATACATCAAGACTATCTTCCTAACTAACATAGTCACCTCAACTGCACTTTTTGACCCTCACATTGCATTTATGTCAACATTATTTTTGCAAATTTGTATATGGTTCTATCAGACGGATTATTGTGGAACAAACCACTGTTTTAAGAGTTAGCTGATAGCTGTAGGCTCCTCTGCTCCTCGCTCAATAAAGAGCTATATATTATAATATAGATTTACGATAGTGGAAAACCACAAGGAACAAAAAAGAGGCCATGGTGTCTGTAGTCCTTTTAAACTTAAAATTAACCATGATACTTTGTGTTTTGCAATTTTCAACATATAAAAAAAAATATGGAGACCCATTTACAAAAGCAATCTAAGCTGGTCATAACCCTACGCCGAAATATCTGACCGAGACATTTGCAGCACTACGATTGATCTGCGAAAACAGGGGCCTGTTCTCTAGAGCAGGGTTGCAGCGTGCCAACATCCTCGTGAGATGTTCCAGACGTGCCAACATCCTCGTGAGATGTTCCAGACGTAAGGTGGGGCTTAGCAAGCACCTGCCTGGCTTCCTTCTCTATTGTCATGGAAGATAAGCCAACTATGTACACCATTACTGGATGATAAGGTCATCCACTGTTGCTACCCATGATGTCCACGTTCCTGAGAATTATCACACACTGTAGTGGTCCTATCTCACCTCTAACCTATGACCGAGTCTAACCTCCTGTTTCCACACTGAACTGCAACATAACAATGTTGATTTTATCTCAAATCTAACCCAAGTCCTAACTTGATATTGGATCAGACTCAACTTTGGTTATGTAAAACTTGTACTGTGATTTAATGAGTGAGGGAGTGTTATTTTACTCTGCAGTCCCAAAAATATAAGATATATTACTGTGCAGGCTTTGAATCATTGTCTGGACCAGACAAACCAGTGGTGGTCAGCACGAGCAATGCCCTTGGGTACTATGACACCCAATCCACACATGTTAACCACCCAATCCCTTCAGTCAGTTACTGGTGATGTAACAATCTGTCCTGGAATCAAGAGTGAGTGAGTACTGTCTTACATTTAGCAACATTCCAGCAATATCATGGCGGGGGACACCAGAAATGGGCTTCACACATTGTACCCATGTGGGGAATTGAACCCAGGTCTTCAGCATGATGAGCGAACACTTCAACCACTAGGCTACCCCACTGCCCCCTTGAATCAAGAATGTCCTTCAGTCTGTCAACTGGTCATCAAAACAAACATAACTGATATTTCCGCTGGTAACACATTGTCTCTGTAAGCACCGTCTCCGTGAGACTATGAGAACAGTTTCCATAGATATCAATGAAATGGGGAATATATTTCCCTTGACAACCATAACTCATTGTCTTCTATACTTCTTTCTGTATTGTCGGTCAAAGCACAACTCACAAAGTAATTGTCTTATTTAATCTTGTTGTTGACAGAACAGCCGAAGGCCTTGTGATATACACTGTGCAGCTGACCCCAAACTGCCAGTCTCCCTGTTTGTCATGTAACCAAGGTGTTGTGACTTCGGTGCCACAGCTATTAATCTACAGTCGTCGTGACAGCACGCAACATCTACGACTTCCCTGTTTCATGTAATTCGGTTAGTTCTCTGACAGCTTGGCGAAGAAATGGAGTCGAAAGTCTTCACCCGAAGACATTCACATTTCTCACAGACAGAATTGGTTACAGAACAATGGATGGCCTTTTTGTAAATTAGATAAAAAATTGTCAGTGTGTGATGTTAAAAGTTGAGAATATTGAGTCTCTGCAACTCCAGTCCGTGTGTGATAGACAGAAGTTGTATGAGGTTCCCACCAGTTGTGCTCCCTTTCTTGCTAATATGTTTCTCAATGCATGTGAAAAAGAATTTCTGCTCAGATTGGCAGAGTCAAAACACAGGAAGTTTACGATGTTTAACCTCAAACTCATTAAAATCAGATCTTAGTTCTTGCTACCGCTAAACAAAGATCTAAGGACATCCCATTACGGGTCACGTCAGACCGACCTTGCGCGAACTTTGACCGACCAATGGAATGACCAATCAGAAGGCAGCTTTCTCGTGCTTTACGGCACTAATTTCAAATTGGCGACTACGCTTCTAAACATATTTTGACAAATTCTGGATTACAAATTTGAAACCTGAACAAAAGAACATTCTGGAATGGCTAATGGATGGGCTAGATTGTATTGATTCAGTTGTTAAACCCGTAACTATCGTTTGGAATAAAGTTTTCAAGGTTGCATGATTAGAAATCACATTCCGACTGTCACTTTCATAATCTGGTAAGCGACGCTCTGATTGGTCGGATGAAAGGTCGTTCTGACGTGACCCCTAATGGGATGTCTTCAGATCTTTGTTTAGCGGTAGCGAGAACTAAGGTCTGATTTTAATGAGATTGGTTTAACCTAAGCCTCAGGTATACAGTGTATGTCGATGATCCGATGTCCAATAATGGTCAAATTCCCTTCCATTGATTTACCCACCTGAAATAAAAGATACCATTGATACTGTCTCATCCATGTCATATTCAGATCAATGCAGAAAGTGAGTGAGTGAGTATGGTTTTATGCTGCTTTTAGCAATATTCCAGCAATATCATGGCGAGGAACACCAGAAATGGGCTTCACACATTGTACCCATGTCGGGAATCGAACCCAGGTCTTCGGCGTGACGAGCGAATGCTTTAACCACTAGGCTTCCCGACGGCCCCTCAATGCATAAAGATTCCGGGTGATAAAAAAACCCAAAAGGGATGAGTTCATCTTTCCAAAAGTCAACTGTCTTTTTGTGTCGAGAAGTTTGCAGCAGCTCCAGCCCTTGGTGTCTACATTTCACAACTTCTGAGGTAAAATGGAGCATGCTCTTTCCACCAAGATTTCAAAGAGATTTGATAAGATTAACAGCATTTAAAGACTTTTTTCAAAAAGCCTTATCGTAGACATGTTTGGAGGAAATTTCCATATCTGACGCTTTAGTGACAAAAATGGTGTCTGATGCATTTCCCTATTTTGACGTGTACTATATGTGCCCATGTTTGTTCAAGTGAAGACATGACTTGCCTTTGCATGTGTCTGTGATGTGTGCTACTGGTGGGGCAGGATACACTCACCTTTTCACAACCTCCTGGTATCATCATAATATTCTTATACACATACTGATGATATCGTCAGAATTGTACAAACGAGTCTTCTTTTAGCAGATTTTCTCTTTTTTATTATGGTAAGAGTATTGTTGTTTCTGTTCCAATTACATGGTCTCAATATTTTTTTCATTTTAGTTTTAGGACAATAAACTACCAAGATTTATCCAAGCATGTGCTTTTTTATGATCAATAGCATTACAACAATCATTCCCAAAAATGTAAGGGTCTGTAATAAACTTGGATTTACGGTTCTTTATCAATGCTAAATTCAGGGTGTTGTCATCCAACGATGTGATACTAGAGCTAAACGTACAGTGAGTCCATATTACCTGTAAGTTTGGGAGTTATGTCAATCATCGCGCTAAGATGACTTTGTGTAGCTGGGATCTGACTTAAAAAATGTCAAACACTATCATGGGATAGATATATGGTTATTCCCCATTGAACATTCTGACAGGATGAGCTTAATGGCTACCCCTTAACAAGTCCATGAAGCAAGGATTGTAGGTGATGTCAAAATTACATTTCTCATGTCACATCAATGTCTTGGGAACTAAGGAAAAATATTGATCCCACAGTTCACACAATTATGCTGAGACACCTCCTGAACTGTAATCAGACAAGCTTAGGGTGATGGCAGTTATCATGTGAGACTACATAGGGGACTACATAGGGGAATACTGGGCAATACACCGCCGCCAACCCCGACAGTGTTCCCACAGTGAACCATGATATACAGGAGATATGACACGAGTAGCCACATCAAACCTCCCCCAATGACACCGAACTGGTGCTAGGAAATAATGACATATCACTCAAGGTTATACTGGATGCAGAATATTGCGTTGTATACAAATTAAATGGATGCAAATAATTTACATTGTGAGTCCTATGGGATGCAATAATGTATGGCTGTTTCAATCATAATATTTCTCAAAACTGTTGACTGCATGTTTTAGATAGAAGTGACATATCTACTCAATGTTAAATACACTCAATGTTCGGGGTGTCAGTGGTTGATTCTTCTTGAAATCCACATCAATAATTGACGTGAGGCTCTGAGCTGAGAATCCCAAGGAATAGAAAATAGATAGACCCTGGTTAATCTCTGACACTTATGTATCTACATCAAAGACTTGACCTGACCAGTGCTAAAAAGTATTTACTATATACACCTGTATATATCACCTATACCACAGACCCTGTATCCAACCAGCTTGGCCTACATACATGGGTAATACACTAATATACATGGGTAATGTGCCTCCCAACAATAAAGCCTGGGAAAAAGCAGGTACGTATATTGAAAAGGCAACCTTAGGCCTATCCCAAGTCACCTGACCTCATATACCTGTTGTCATACCATGACGTCATGCCTGACTGAGTTTCCCAGAGACTCTGCCAGTGGGCTGAACAAATGCGTTGTACAAATTAACAGCCATGACTGTATTTCATTTCAGATATATTTCTAAGAAACTCATATGCTTATCAGGTTGAAATTAACTTCCTGGAGTGAAGGAATACAGACTTAGTTTGTAGGGTCATGGTGTTCAACACCACTGTGAACAATATTTCAGCGTGTTAGCTTAATGTGGGAGGAAAGCTGAAGGTGATACAGGCCCCAGACATTTGTGAAACACAATCAAGGCAAGTCGGGCCTTCCAACCCACGATCATAGGTTCCTGCCACACCTAAGGGATGCAACTCTGCTTCTTATCATGGGTATGAAATTTTGATTTCTTCCTGAAGTAAAAACCAGAAGACTTATCTTTTTATGTTTTTTCACAGTTTCTAATCATACCAAATATAGAAAATACCAAATATAGAAAATACCAAATATGGGACAAATACAATTAACAATATTTACACATGCTGACATTTGGTGAGTGAGTGAGTATGGTTTTACGCTGATTTTAGCAATATTCCAGCAAATATCACGGCGGTGGACACCAGAAATGGGCTTCACACATTGTACCCATGTCGGGAATCAAACCCAGTGAACGCTTTAACCACTAGGCTACCCGACCGCCCCTGTTCAACAGGAAATAAACCTTGCTATAAACAATGTCATGAGTACAAGTCACGTACCAATGGCTCGTTGGTCTTCTCTAAATGGATGATCTTCACGCTGTCCTCGCCATAAGGCATGAGGGGGTACTCAAGGGGTTCACTGGCATCGGGCTGGGTGAGGGCAAGTGTGTGCGGGAGGGCGTGGACATGGTTCACCGTCACTGGCTCGTGTTCTCGCTGGGCTAGAGAGTCGTGTGCAAGCAATACACCCTGAAATAAACAATAAAAATAATTAGAAAAACATACTTTTAATGACAAAATGTCTGTGTACATGGTGTATGGAGTGTTAAACTACAAAGAGAATAAAGAATTAAACATGCGTGCTAGCTTTCAGCCTGTTTGGTGATGTATTTGAAATGGCCCCCAGCATTGTGAGTGAGTTTGGTTTAACACCGCTTTTAACAGTATCACAGTTATATCACGGCACGTCAGCTTAATGTGGGAGGAAAGCCCGAAATGATGCAGGACTCAGACGTTTACCACTTCGGTGAAACCCACTAGCACGGGTATGGTGCTGACACACCTAGAAACATAATGGGGCAAACTGGGATTCGAACCCACAATCATAGGTTTCTGGAGTGCCCAAGGGACGCAACTCTGCACAGCGAATCGCAGCGCCTAAGACGACTGGGCCACCCGTGCCCCCGGCCCCCGGCCCCCGGCCCCCAGCAACCTATGCTTGTTGCACAAGGTGAGTGAATGGATTGGGTGGTCAGACAGAGTGACTTGATTGCATGTCATCGTTCACAGACATTGTGGGGCTTATGATTTTAAATCAATCACTGGATTGGATTGTATGGAAGGAAGCTGAATCATGAATCTAGAATATTGCTAAGGCGTTAAACAAGAAACAAATAACATTGGTGATGTGGTTCCTGAGGAGGTGTTTACAGACACTCTACATGATGGACAAATACGCCACACAACATGGGCTCTCTTTAGCTTCAGCTTCAACATTCCACAAATAGTAGTCAGTAATGGCCATAGAACTTTCTAAATACCACGCTTATTTCAGCACTTGGATGATGTGTGTGAAATGTTTTAAAAAGATATTTCAAACAAAGCTTTTTTAAGAGTAAGACTAAAAGCTGTAAAAAAAAGAACTTAAATTCTAAAAACACATAAGACCACTTCTACATGGTTTCATACAGATATTTCAACATGCTTTGGGAGAGAGGCAGATAGACAGACATGTAAACAGAATATGTTTCTACAAACACTGCCAACTTAACTTCAGCAAGGGAGATAACTCTTGAAGTATGAACATAATGCAGGTAAATGAAAATCCATAGAATAACATGGGTATTCAACATTAAATACAAATGTTCACAGATATCACAGTCTGCACTAACAACTTTACTTAGCATTACATATCCTCAAACAGTGCGCTAAATGCTTGAACTATTTTCCTCCGACAACACAATCAACTATGTGTGTCACAAAGTATGACTGTAAACATTAAATACGAAGCTGATCTTATTGACATAACAAGATTCCAATATTTGGGCACATGTTGGCCACAAAGCAGGCCACATTACGACCAGATTGACGGGTCAGTTCCACAGAGTTATTATTGGTTATGTCAACAAGTCTTGTACAAATGTTTGCTGCCGCCATCATCATCTGTCATGTCCATGGTTCCCTGGCCCAGCCTGATGACCTGTCACAGGCCTCCTTGTTGCCTCAGATGTACCAGGCCCTTACACATGCTCTGCACACAGTGGTGGGGAAACAAATGAAGACAAAAATCTGTCTTAATGGATTTCTACATTTCGGTTATCGATTAGAATGTTGTTTTCAATGTGGCTTGTTACATCTTCTACAGTAAACAGTGCTAACATTTGTTGAATTTACCACCTGCGGATTCCCCCTTACCACCCGACCACAGAAGTACAGAAACAGACAGACAGACAGACAGACAGAAGACAGAAATACAGACAGATGACAGATAGACAGACAGACACAAAGACAGACAGATGACAGATAGACAGACAGAGACACAAAGACAGACAGGCAGACAGAGACACAAACATACACAGACAGATAGACACACAAAGACAGAGAGAGACACACATACACAGACAGACAGACAGACAGATAGACAGAGACACAAAGACAGATGACAGATAGAGACACAAAGACAGACAGATAGACAGAGACACACAGACAGACAGGCAGACAGAGACACAAACATACACAGACAGATAGACACACAAAGACAGATAGACACACACATACACAGACAGACAGACAGATAGACAGAGACACAAAGACAGATGACAGATAGAGACACAAAGACAGACAGATAGACAGAGACACACAGACAGACAGACAGAATCAGTTTTGATAACTTGGCTCTCAGTGGACCAGATAACCCTACTTCCAAAGTCTCCAAACTCGTGTATGCATATTGCATGCATGTGATCAAGTTATGAAAGGATTGAGTCTCAACTAACTGGTGTTAAACAAACCATTATGATGATGTCACGCCATTTTCAGAGCTCCAAATAACTTTTTGAGCAATTGAGTTTTTACTCAAAGGTTTCTATTTAATTTGGGTTATTACATTTTTCATTGGGTAACCAATATTTTTTCACTCATCTATACATCACTCTTTTGAGTTTTTCCCAAAATGAGTAAGCATTTTGAGATTAAAAAAAATGAAATAATGTTTTAGATGTATATAACGGTTCTAAATATAGGCTTGACTCGGAAAGTAAATTAGCTTGTAATTGTGTTTCGGAAATTAGCTCTGTTGTACGCATGCTGAAAAATCTTCATTTGCTATATACGCGTGCTCTTTTCAAACAATTGCATTTTCCATTTAATGCATGCGTTTCTGTACGCAAGTTAATTGAAAGTAATTGTGTTTTAAATAGTTTTGGGGGGTATATTACGCAAATACGCAGCGTATCTGTATGTCTGCATTGTTGTTGCAGTTGATTCTGAGCCAGGAATCCACATGCATTGTAACAACTAAAACTGACACAGCCATAGGACAGTATGCAGAATTATAGAGAAATTGTATACAAACCATAACATGGTTTAAGTTGGATTAATCACCCTGGCGAGTCCGAACAACATGGGACCATATTAAGGTGATTTCTACATTACAGATTCTGAGGCTCTTGCCCCTATCCATCAGTTGGCCTATATCAGACATTGCTGAGACAATGTTTAATTAATGACTGCATTTGCCAAATTAACTTCAAGCTTGAATTGAAATGGAATGTTTGTTTCTACAGTGTTGACTCTTGAAGTCGGTCCAAGGATTGTTGGGAGGGTTTAACTACCATCATCCACAAAACTGGACTATGGCCAAAATAAATTAATTATTACGTTTTCATTCAAAAAAATTTCTTAATGTGAGGTTGTACGGATTTAATTCTACATATTTAATTGTTTTAATAAACACAGCTCAAGGCATCCATAGACATTAATTGTTGACTTATGTGATTTAGATGAAACTTAAATATTTGGTAGAGCTCCAGCATGTACATATGTGGTGAAAATATGTATAAATGTATACAGTACATTAAAGTATTCTCTCAAGTTGTGAAAGAAGAGAACCTATGTATTCATGTTATACACATGTTGGGAATCAAACCTATGTCTTCATTAAGAAGAACTTATCCACTAGGCCACCTCATCATCCCTCAGGACCACATAAAATGACTTTTTCGGGCGCTGACATTTTATATTTTCACACTGAACTCCTATGGTGGATCGAACATGTGCCTCAGGTGTGCAGAGCAAATGCTTTAACAAGTTAGCCAACCCCTGCCTCTGAAGATCACATGAAATACCAAGGGCCCAGTTCAACACATTGATTGTAGCGGTCATGATCTTAAGTCCCATACTTTAACACAGACTTAAGACCGCAGTAGTGCTAAGATTGCTTTAGGAATGGCGACCTGGATTCTTTTTTTGTGTAAATTTTTCATTTTTCAGGGTACACTGAAACAATATAGTTGTCTTGTGTGGTGTGATGCCGTAGTGGTTAAAGCATTTGCTCTCATGCTGAAGGTTCGATTCCCCACATGGGTACAATGTGTGACACCCATTTCTGGTGTGCCCTGTCGTGATGTAACTGCTGGAATATTGCCCAAAACTGCGTAAAACCCATCTAACTCATGCCCATGTTCATACATGCTGAACTATAGTAAAGCTGCTCAAACAAGATGCAGACACAGGCATGAACAGTTTGATCATCTTCATCTTCCGTCCAACATGCCTGACAAACAGAGATTATCTATCACTGACCACAAGTCAACCACAGATCATGGAAGACAAACACAGTCGCCACCAGATCATCTCTGAACATCTCTGGACTGTCCGACATGTCATATGTTGCCTGGCAACACCAGATTCTACCTTTCATGTCAGATTTACTACCTTGAAACCACTTCAGTGTAAATGAACCAAAAAATGTTATGGCACTTAACAGATATTTTTTGCAGTTTAATCTTTGAGCACACTGCTGAAATGTTTGACAACACTGTTTATGGGCGCTGAGCACGATGGTTGTAATCTGTTTGAGTCTGAGATATTGTCCTGGATGGTTTGCAAGATGGCCGAGAAGATGCCTTCAGCTCTGTTAATACCACAATAAATACTGAATTTACTTTTATGTTTCAGCAACAAATCTGCAAGCTTAAAATTGATAACAACCAATTTTCTTTGAATATCTAAAATTAGGATAATTATTAATACACCTATTTTATATTTCACTTAAATTCAATAATTATTTTATAACTCTGCAAAATCATATGTCCAATGAAACATCTGTTATGAGTTATAGTTTTGCATTGGGGACAAAGTGAGTCGGTGAATTTGGATCCAAGCAGTTTGTTACAACATTGCAATAAGTAAGCTGTGGAACACAGCAGTTGGTTACAATAAGTAAGCTGTGGAACACAGCGGTTGGTTACAACATTGCAATAAGTAAGCTGTGGAACACAGCGGTTGGTTACATCATTGCAATAAGTAAGATGTGGAACACAGCTGTTGGTTACATCATTGCAATAAGTAAGATGTGGAACACAGCGGTTGGTTACAACATTGCAATAAGTAAGCTGTGGAACACAGCGGTTGGTTACAACATTGCAAAAAGTAAGCTGTGGAACACAGCAGTTGGTTACAACATTGCAAAAAGTAAGCTGTGGAACACAGCGGTTGGTTTCAACATTGCAATAAATAAGCTGTGGAAC